GTCCCGAATCAGACTTGTTGGGGACATTTCTTCTGGGGTTTCTCTCCTTTCCCACCCCTTCTTCTCCCCTGCCCTTCTCTGTCCTTTCCCTTCTTATATTGATGTTATGCGCGGCAGGGATAGGTCGTCGGATAGGTCGTCGTCGTCGCTTTCGTGCGATGACGACGACGATGTCGACGACGAACGCATGCCTCGCACGATTCGCAAGGATACATATCGTCTGTTCTACCACGGGACACAGGCTTTTAGTATTCCGTTGGTATTATCATCACGGGCACATGGTTATCAGACCCTGTCAGCGATCAGTGCGCGATTGTGATTTGATGCGTTCCCCCTTGGGCTTGCGGTCGAAACGGACGGTAAGGATGCGCGATGAGAATGCAATCCCTCTTGGGCGCCCATGTCGAGGCTTTCTGCGTTGGGCTGGTCATCGAGAGTGCTTACGGGTGGACGGTCGAGGCGCGGGTGCAAGGGTACCCTTGGGATGCTGACCCATCCTTACCATCGGTGTCGATTGTATCCCTCCCCTCCCTCTCGTTGCCCCTATCCGACGCTTGCGCGCCCCGTCCCTGCTTCCGCCCGCTTCGGCCGACCACCCGTCGTCGCCGGCGTTTTTCCCCCGCCGCCCGCCTCTTTCCGCGGCTCGCGGCTTCAAGGGCCCCCGTAGCTGCCAAACGCAGCCGCGCTGCCGCGCCGCATCCGCGGTCGGCGGGGCGCGCCTCGAATGATTATTTTCGCCAGTGGGCAACCGTGGAATTTTTCCGATTTGATTCGAACACCCTGAATTGCAAGTCGAAGGCGTTGCGAAAGCGGGCGCAGCCGGCGTCGACCACGATGGGGTATGGCACTGCTGCGCTGCGTCGCGGTCGCGCCTGACCAGGTCCAGCGTCGTGGCCAAAACGGGCCCTATCCATACGACCGTACTATGTTTCAGCGTGTCTGGACCATCTGCAACAGTAGCGACGCCCACTGGTTCAACAAGGTACCCAGAAATACCCAAAGTCAAACCGAACGATTTGGAATTTGAGCTGGTTTTCGTGAGTGGTTTTTTGGGCTGGCCGGACCCCCATCGGGAAACCAATGCGCATTGCGGGGTGCGCCGAGCGCGCGTTGCTGTCGATTGCAGAGAGGGCGGGGCGGGGTGGGAGACGGGGGCGAAACCCGGCGCGTTCAGATGCGAGCGTAATCCGCAGGCGCGCGAAACGGGCATCGTTGCGCACTCACGCTTGCTCCAGCATAATATCACCCGACCTATTTGGGCCAGCGCCAAAAGTCACGCAAGCGAGAGGTCACTCTTACGCGTAGTCGATATTTGGAAGAAGGGAGGGCCCACATTCGGGCAGGCGCGTGTTATTCAGGCGTTCGCTTTGCACCACCGTCGAACAGTTGTGCATCGGAAATGGGGGCGCTCGAATGTTGGAATGGGGGTTTAGAGAAACGACGGCGTTTACATGGCTGGTACCTTCTCGCGGGCGTTCGGGTTTCGGTCGGTGGTGTTGGAGGTTTCCAATTGGAGTTTCCAATTCAAGGGTCCGTGAGTTTCTTCGTTTGGCGGAACTTGGAATCGTGTGATGGATTGTTCCTTAAAGTAGCGTTCACCCGATCCACGGTTGTTGCCCTGAAACTGACAACCCTGGGTGGCCGACTTTCGGGAGGAGGGGCAGCTTTCAAACTTAGAGGAGGCGCGTGTTATTCGACGTTCGTTTTGCAGTATCACCTAATCGTTGTGTATCGGAAGAACGAGGTTCGAAGGCTTGGTTGGATCTGGAAAAACGATTGCGTTACAGGGCTCGTTGTTTTTCGCGGGCGTTCGGGTTTCGTTCCGTGGTTTTGAAGGTTCCAGCGGGAATTCCTCATTCCAGTGTCCATTCGGCGAAGCGTTATTCGGCGAAGCGTTCGCCCGATCAACGGTCGTTGCCCTACACTGCAAGCGCGGGGCGGGTTTTTGGAAAAGGGGGAGTTCTGAAAATTAGACCGGCTAGTGTTATTCAAGTTTCCGCTATGCGTTATTGCGTAGCCGTCGCATATCGGCGGAAGGGGAGTTCAAAGGCAGGAGAGGAGGTTTAGACAAACGATTGCATTTACAGGGCTCGTTGTTTCTCACGAGCGTTAAGGTCTCGGCGGCAATGCTGAGATTGGGGCCTTTCGATGGTGTTTTGTTCGCCCTGGTGTCTGGAGGCTCCCAACTGGAGTTCTCTATTCCAGCTTTTGTGTGTTTCCTTGCTCGACGGGGACATGTTCCCTTCGCCCGCAATAGTTTCCTCGGTCGGCCGAGGAAAATTCCCCCGGTCGCCTAAAATACGTCCTTCGTTCAGAGTGCGGAATTGCCCGGCTCGCCAAACATTTGTTCGTTCGACCGGATGTTGTTTTTGTTTCTCTTCGGCTGTCGACCTCGCGCAACACATGGTGTGCAGTTTACGCGGCGTATGTTCGCCAAGCCAGCAATGGTTTGCCCATTCTTTTGTTCGCGCAGACATCTCACCCTGCCACGCGCAACGTGTTTGACGAAACCCATGCGGCCGCCATTGCGGTTGCCGGATCGAGTTTGCCGGCGCATTTGTCCTTGCGCGCTGGCGGCCAGCTGGTTTGACGCACTTGGTGGTGCCGCGATGTCGCTTGCCGATGGGGACCTACCAGCGCGTCTCAAACGGCGGGCTGGCGCGCGGGGGTTTCAGTGAGGGTCGGTGGCTCGCGCGGGCGCGATAGCACGATGTTGGCGACGACGATGCCAGTGAATATGTCCGTGCTTCGGTGGTGAAGGGGATTGTGCAGATGTTGGCGGTAATGGCGGCGGCTGACGACGACACTGACGAGGGTGATGGTGAGGAGGTGCGCGTTCGCCAAAATCAGAACATTTCCGCATACCTCTATCCAAAACACGCGATTGTCAATAGAGTGTGAAACTCAGCACGTGCATGCGGCCCGCATAGTTTCATTTGTTAAGGATCGCTCGCTGGGCGCATGCTAGACCCCAATGCGGATGCAACGCGAGTTGAGATCACAGTGTGGTTTCCAGACGAAATTGCTAGAATCATGTGGTTGCCAAGTGATTTCAGCAATTGCGCGCGGCCACCATAGTTGCAAAGCTTCTGGTGACAATCCCGTGACCTTTTCTGATTTTAAGTTGACACATTTGCATAGCGAGTGTGTTCAGTGTGACATAGACATTGGCACGCGTGTGGAATTTGGCATTTATTGCGTGGGGGTTATAACAGACGCGATGTGAGATAAACGACTGTGCGCGAATGGTGTTTCTATTCGGATGAAACCGGGTTGTCGGTGATACCGGTCGGGTTGGGATGGTATGGATACGTAGAATGTACGATGAACCAAAATGGTATGTACATTGTATTGTGAGCAGGATTGCCGTGAACCCCCGGCGCGGGGGGGTGATACAATTTTTCCAAACATGGAAAATTTATGTGGTGCAATTGCGCAGGGCAATTTGGGAACGCGAGCCAGCGCACGGGGTGGCCACGGGGCCGCCACGGAAGCCTAATGGGCGAAAACGTGGGGGTGCTAGGCAGCGCGTTCGGCGGCCACGAGGCTGCTTCGGGCGAGCATTGGACGAACACCTGGAATTGCCAGCCAATTCGTTAGAAATGCGGTTAGTAGTTTTAAACCAATGCTGTTCGGTGAACAGATCTGCGCGTGTGCTACCCGTGCGACTAACCGGCTCCGACAGGAAGCGATGGAGAAGTTGTATGACACGGAGGTGAAGGGGAGAAGGTTGAGACTCACACAGGCGCCCATTGTCTTTCTTTTTATTGCTTGCAGATGTGCCGGAACGGTGGGCGCTTGGTGCCGCAGCATCGGCAGAGAAATGAGAGGTTCTCCCTTTTGCCTGGTTCGCGCGTGTACAGCCGCGGCCATCCACCTCCGCCTCCTTCTCTTTCCTTTCCGTCACACTGGCAGGAGAGGCCAGAGCTGGCCAGACCAAGGATGTTGGTGCTGGCGAGCCAGTCTGGTCGCAGTGGCATCCTCGGCGGGGGGGCATTGTGGCGAGCGGAGCGTCAGCTCCGTCTTTGGGTATTGTGCTCTCGTGGGCTTCTCGGGTGCACTCAGAGGTTCGAAGCGGTTTCCTCCCCACCTCGCTTGGCTTGCCGATCCGGGATGAGCTTTCCAGGTGGAACGCGCGGAGAGTTCTTTCGATTTTCTTTGTGTTTCCGCCCGCTCGGGAGCAGCTTCGGACGTGCGCCGCACGTGCACGAACAGGGCATGGGGCCCGCGGAGGCCACGAGCCTGGAGGAATCGGCAGCGGCCGTGTCGGCGGCCACCGCTGGGGTTCCGCAGTCGTTGCCGCTGCAGAGGCGGCGATCGCCAAGGGCCCGCCCAGGCGACCGCAGCCCCCGCACCATGCGCGGGGGCGGCCGCCGCCGCAGCAGCCGCGGCGGCAGCCGCTGCAACGGCCGCCGCCGCGGGTGAGGCTCAGCGGGGGCTGCAGGAGGACGATGCCCGTCTGTCGTGGCGGCCGCGCCGACGGCCGCGCCCAGCCGCTCCCCGCGGGGAGCGGCGGCCGCTGCCGCGGCGGGCTCGAGGGCGGCCATCGCAAGGGTGCGGCCGCAGCCCGCCGCAGCGGGCGGCGCAGCGCCGTGCGCTCGGAGGGGACCGCGCCGCGGGCCGAATGTGTCTGGTCGATGAGAAAATCAAGTTGTCTTCCACAAGAGGCTATACGCAGACACCCTCTAACGGTTTGTTCCTGGGCCTCATGGGAGGGTGGCAGCGTATGAGTCACCACCGGGAGCCAGCGACGTTGTACACCGCTGCCCTCCCGCCCTCCTTGAAGGTTCATGCTAAAGTTGGTGGAGGGCATCCGTGTATACATATATGTATATATATATGTAATATATATATATATATATATTGCGTGGCGTAAGTTGCTGTGTTGCGGTCGGGACTTTGGAGGAAGCGCGCTGGATTTGGCCATAGGTCTGCGGTCCAAGAGGGAACCCGAGCCCTTGTGTTCCCGTCCCTCGCCCATGCGAGCAGCGCAAGCGTCGAGAATTGATGCAAGGACCGACCATGACATTGTTTAGCTTTGTTTGGGCCTTTGTCACATGTTTCGTTTCGTTGTTGGTGTTCGGTACGGTTTGTTATGTGTGTTTGCGTTAAACGCCTCGTGTTGTTGTTTTGTATCGTTGTTTGCAATGGTGTCGTTCTACACGTTAGTTTTGACCGTTGCATTTGGTTTCGTTTCTCATTGTCAACGCCATTTCGTTTTAAACGTTGCTGTGATCGTCGCCCCTGCGCATAGCGCCGACGTCGAGAATGCATGCCCGCGCGAGGTCTTCACGGTGAAACGGCGATGGTGTCGTGTGCATTGATGCCTTGTGGTTGCCTATATGTTGTTGTTGCCTCCCTCCCTCTCGGCCCTTCCCCTCCTCTCCCCCCATCTCTTGACGTCTCTCTCCGTCCCTTCTTCTCCCCCCTCCCGACCCGCCCGCTCCCATCTTGTCCCTCCTTCCCCCCTCCCTTCCCTCCTTCCCCACCCTCCCGCCAGGCGTACTTTGTTCGGCTCCCGCCCCTCCCCATGCTCGTCCCTCGGTTTTCTTCTCCTCCTCCCAGGCCCTGAACATCCAGGCCTCCATGTGTGGGGCTGTCTTGTACAATTTGGCATGGATGGTATCATCGACCTCACCGCCCACCCCTTTAACAGGTGGCACTGGTATGGTGACGGTTCGGGTGGTCCCGATAGAAATTCGGCGATCTTACGGCGCGCGGCATGGTCCCTCATTGCCATTGCGCAGGTGAACGGCCAGTGGCAGTTCCAAGGTGGATGGACGCAGGCCATGGTGGGACCTCAGGCAGTACCGCGGTCTGAGTTGACTCCTCACCCGGTGTACCTTCGGCGCACAACGGGCTCGGGCATCTACCATACCGACCACAAGAACTTGGTGGACGGTGTTGGGGCAGACACGCCTCATAACCCATACTCTCAGCCAACGCTGACCTGTGGCATTCAATCGGGCTGGCGATGGACAGCCGCGAAGGCACTGCTGAAGTCCGTATGTTCGATCGTTTCATGGTGAAAGTGAAGCCGTGGACGGCAAGCTTGGATACTCGTGTCGGGCCTGTATGGAGACCGTGCCGTACGTACATGCAGATTCTTGGCTTCAGGTTTCTTGCAGCCGCCAGTGTTGGAAGCGTGGCAACGAGACCCCCGACCAGCAGCCCGGGAGGCTCGACTACAACGACGACCCCTACGTGACCACGACGACGCCTGCGCGGCAGATATGAGGCAGCACTCTTCTTCTACATTAGCGTCGTCGTCAAGTGATGTAGTGGACCCGCACAGCAAGCGCGTGAAATTGATTCACGCCACCGTCGCTCTGACACGGAAGAGGAAGCGGCCGGATGGCGCAGAGAGATCTGGAACAGCAATTCTTGTTGGCAGTGCGGAGGTTCATGGATCTCATCATCTCATTGTTGACTCGCGGGCTGATGTGGTGTCTTCGTTGTGCATGCTCCACTACGAGCAGTGCAACAGATTGTGCCCGCCGCCGACCAAAGCCGGTACAGGCCATCTGCGTCGCCTCGAGGATGACCTGATGCCGAAGGTCAAGTACGACACCTGGCCAGACGGCACGCCAGTCCGGATCTAGAGGCGCACCCGGGTCTCCAGACTGATTTGTCAGTCTGCCTGAATGTATTACGTGATGTATCATTTCGCCTGAGTGGGCGGCCAAAGCCTCCTGTCCCGACCCCGCTCTGCAACTTCTGCGGTCGATCGATCGACAACAGGTGTACGGACCCACCTGCCCAGGTCAGGACGGCGTGCGCGCGATGGTGTTGTGAGCACTTCCACCTCTCCTCCTTCCTCCCCCTCTTTGCAACTGCTCAATCTGAGTGTTGACTCCTCTCTCCCCCGCAGACGTGCCGAGAGTCACTTGCACCCCCCGACACGCATGGTTTTTGCACAGGATGGATCCGAGTTGTCTGTGTTTTCCAATCCGAACGTTCTCGGTCCTTCCACAATGGTGTTCCCATTGCGGCGTGTCGCCCCCTTCCTTTCCCCTGATCCACCTTCCCTTGTCCTCCTGCTCCTCCCGCTCCTCCCACTCAAGTTCCTGCTGCTGCTGTTCGTCCTCGTCCTCCTCCTTTCTCCTCCTCCTCCTCCTCCTTCTTCTGCTCCTCCTCCTGCTCACGCATCGCACGATGGTCTGTTTTGTGGAGCTCGGGGTCGCCATGGCACGCGTCCGCGGAGAGAAACGTCAGCGACATATGGAAGGGATGGGCGGGAAGGCCCTCCCCTCCTCCGCCCCCCCCTCCTCCTCCTCCTCCTCCTCCTCCTCCTCCTCCTCCTCCTCCTCCTCCTCCTCCTCCTCCTCCTCCTCCTCCTCCTCCTCCTCATCATCCCTCCTCCCTCCCCCCTGCCCCCCCCCCCTGGGGACCTCGCCCCCGCCCTGGAGAGGCGGGCGCTGCGCTGGGTGGCCGGCGAGACAGAGACGGCGGCCCCGACCGGCGCGCGGCAGGTGGCACGGCAGGGGGAAGGCTTGGCTGACCGGAGGGTCGTCCCGTCGCTTCCGCGGGGCTCCGCGCGACGCGGCGGGCCAGGACGGCGGCCTCTGTCCGACCGCAGGCGATTTCTCTCCCCCAATCCCCGACTTCCGCCAGAAAAGTTTGGTCGCTCAGAAAAGGGGAGGAATCTTGGGATACATCCCGAGGGGGCTATTCGGACGCACCCCTGTCGAGGATGGACGCGCCCCCCCTCGTATATCCCAGGGTTGGGCCCCAAATTGTTGATCCTCCCGAAAACCTCACAGAGCCTGGGATAGGGGTCGACGCATCCCCTGTTATGTCCGACCGCAGGCGCTGGTGCTTGCCTCCTGGACATTTACAGATGGCATGGGGGTCCCCAGTCATTCATCAGAACGCAGCCCCTGACCCCAACAGCACAAGGAATGCTTGACCCGGCTAGGTCCACTGTTTGTAGGGGCGTCCCTAAACAGATGGGTGGCTTCATCTGATGCATCTGCAAAACGGGCCCCCTATCCCTCATGTTTTTTGCCCTCCCAGCTTCGGTCCCCTCCCAAACGGCCAGGGATACCTTTATTGCTTATCACCCGGGGATTCGCAGCATCTCCCCGCGACAGTCCCCGGTTCCCAGGGCCTTCCAATCTCGATGGGTGCTCAGTCGGAGGCAACGGGGAACAGTGAGCTCTTGTCCTGCAGCTGCCGAGTGCCATCCCACCACCGTGCCTGCGTCGCGGACCAGGGGCCCCTCAGATGCTCTTTGGGATCCCTCCTGGGGACTTCGTTTGGGGCTCTCGAGTCATGAGGCTTCCTGGGGCCCTTTGGGGCCTCTTCGGGGCCTCCTGGGAACTTGTGGGGGAGTGTTCGGGGCCGACGGCTGGAAGTGTCCGCTCGGGTGCCCTGGTGCTTCCTGGGGCCGTCTTGGATCCCTCTTGTGAGCCTCTTGGGGGCCTCTGGGGCTGATTCTTGGGGCCTCCTGGGCCGTCTCCGACGCTGCGACCCCCGCCGCCTGGCGAGGCAGGCCGCCCCTCGTCGGGAGACGCTGCCGCCGCGGGCGCCCGGCGCCCCGCGCGGCAGGCGGGCTTTTTACGGCGAGGGAGGGTCCGGCCAGCCAGGGAGGGTCTCTGGCGCTGCTCGGCCACTGCGCCGACCGCCTTTTTCGAACGAAGCTCCATCAGGAGGGGAAACCACACACAGACACAATTAATCGTCGATTCTCCAGAAAATATGGGAAAATATGGGAAGTGGGGGGGAAGACAAAAACCCAGAAAATATGGGGAAATATGGGGTATATTTTTATTTGTGTGTATTTATTTGTGTGTCCTGAGGCCCCTTCATAACAACCCAGCGAGAACTGGATGAACAAAAATGAGCTGCAGACGCCCGCCGTGGAAACTGATCCTGCGCGGACGCATCTGAGCCTTGGGATCTGGTTCGGTGATAGCGGGATGCGTAGAGGGATCATGGTTTGCGTGCTTTTGTGATGCTCTTTCTTTGCACTGGTGGGTGGAGGCGCAGACCCAGCAGGCGAGGTGTCGATCTCAGGCCGCAGCGCCGTTGCCTATCGTCTCTGTTGCGCTCTCTTCTCCCCGTTTCGGGGATTCGGAGTCGATGCCCGCACCAGGCTTACCCAGGCACATCTGTGGATTATGGTTCAAATAACGCCCCTGAATTGGCCAGCGCGGATCCATCTTGGATCAACGATGGTTCAGGATGGGCTAGGCCAGGGTGTTTTCCTTTGTAAGCGAATGCTTGTTTGCTTGGTCTTCTTAGTGGGCATGATGTGGTGGTTCCATGGTGATATGTTTCAGTCGAAACTGGTGGCCTCCCATGAATCCTACATGATGCAGCGATGGTTCCTCCTCCCTTCCGTCTCGAACTGAGTTTGCTGATGTCGCACGCTGCCCACAATGCTTCAGCGCAGTTTTAGGCAGTGCATTTGTATGTAGCATGTGTGTTACATATCAGTCCGTCCAGAATGTGTTCGTTTGGTGCTGCTTACTTGATGGCTGTTTGCGGATACATGTATCAGTGTTGTGTGCGTGCCGGTATATATATATATATGCATGTATGATTAACCATTTGTATGTCATTCAGTGTTTTCGTTGTTTGTTCGAGTGGCCACTGGGTTAGGTCGGTCGGTCCGTTGAGTTTTAGGTTGCCCTAGTGTGTTGGTGTTTAGCTGCTTGTGTGCCTGGCCCGCCTACCCGATTGCCACCTGATTTACGTATGTGATGAGATGTGTGTCTCATTTTGTCTTGTTGTACGTGTGTGTGTGTGTGTGTCCTGGAGTCTCTGTTCATCTGTTTGCTCACCTGTCTGCAAGTATGTTTGGTGTTGCTGTTGCAGGTGTTCAGTGATGTGTTGTATTACCTGTTTGCTTGTCTGTGTGTCTGCGTGTTGCTTCTTTCGTGCTAGCGTGATTAGTTCGTTGCTTGTTTGATTACTGATTTTGTCGCAGAGGTAGCTCTTGTGTGGCGTGCTGTGATCATGTGTACCGTAGTTGATATGGTGATTTGTTGTGATGTCGACCTGGCAACTTGTGAGACTGCTCGTCTGCGTACCTTTGTGCACGCATCGTTGTCTATGATGCCTCTGTCTCAAGGGATGGGTGCCTGTATGCGCCACTAGCTGCTTCCTGTTCTTATTGTATATGTTCCGCTCGCTTGTGTCTTCGTCCACCTTCGGCTATTCGTAACGACCTTATCGCTTGAATGTATTCTCACCAGATTGCCAGGGGGACCCGGTAGGTATGAAGGCGAAGTCACAGAGCATCAATGCGCATTCGGAAGAGAACCACCGTCAACATTGGCAATGCAATCGTCTCCCCGATGTCCTCTATGGTCATGCCATCCTCCGAGTTTGTCTCTCCCCTCCTCATCTCCTCTTGCTCGAGCTCTCCATTCACCATCTTTGAGATTGAGCCCGCAGAGCGGGAACACCGCAGCATCTTGGGGGCATATTGGGGTTGTTTGAAATCATCTTGGAGCGAGCATACGGGATTGTCAGTTCGTGTTTTCCCTCTGGGACCCCTCTTGAGGTTCTGATTTCAAAACTACGGTAACGCTAAAATGTTTCACTGCCTTTTACGTTTTGGGGCTGTTTTGGACCCTTCTGGGCCGTGTGGAGCCTCGACCCAACCCTCTCGGGGCGTCGTGGGGCCCTCGTGGGTCCTCCCGTGGTCCTCCTGAAGTACTCCTGGAGTCCTGTCGTGGCTCGCCGTGTGGGGCGTCATGGGGCCCCCTTGGGCTCCATGGGCGCACCCTTGGCACATTTAGACGGTCAGATGCCAAAGAGAGGGCATAGTTGCCAACATCTTCCGACCAACCATAGCAACAGTAAGGATTTCTGCCTCTTGGAGGGTCTTTGGGAGCCTACTGGGGCTCTCTGGGTGCGTCGTCGGCTGTTTCAGGGAACTCTTGGGCCGTCTGGGTGGTGCCCCCTTTGGGCCGGACAGAGCTGGTACGGATATGCGGGCCCCCTCCTTATCTCCTGGCCTTGGTCTGGTAGCCTATGTTGTAATCAGAGTGAGGGGGCCGAACGGTCATTCATTGTCCCTGGGTGCGTGGCTGAAGTGAGAATCCGTGGTGAGGATTATGCTTGTTGCGTTGTTGCTGTTGCTGTTGCTGTTGCTGTTGTTGTTGTTGTTGTTGTTGTTGTTGTTGTTGTTGTTGTTGTTGTTGTTGTTGAATTCTCATTTCTGAAGAATAAATATTGTTGATCCCCCCCACCGGTGCATACTGTTTTTTCTCAATCAAAGTGTGCCCCTCGACGCTCGCACCCTGTTTTTTGTCAGGGAAAGTCTTCCTGCTCAAACTGGGCCCCTGGCCTCCGCGTTACAACAACAACGGCTCCCGCCTAAGACTTCCTTACAATTTAGGCAGGACCCCCGCTCCCGCCCGAGACTTCCTCGCATTTTATTCAGGAAGCCACTCTCGCTTGGGACTTCCTTACAATTTATTCAGGAATCGCTCTCCCGGAGCTCTGGAGTCGCGCTCTCGCTGGAGACTTGCTTGCAACTTACTGAAGAATAGACTTGCGTTGGAATTTCTTGCAATTTGCCCAAGCGCCGCGCTCCCGACACCCAGGCACCCAGGAGTCGCGCCCGTTGTGACCCCCTTTGCATGCCCTTCGTGGCCCCGCTGTCGCCATTTGTGTCCCCCTCATTGTCCTACGTGGTCCAGTTGCTACCCTCAGTGGCCCCATAGTTTCCTCCTGTGGCCCCGCATTATCTGCACTTCGTGGCCCCCGCTCGTTCGCACTCTTCGTGTCCCCATACGCATTCCCTTCGTGTCCCCGCTGTCGCCCTTCGTGGCCTACTTCGTGCCCTTCGTGGCCCTGCCGTCGTTCTCTCTCGCTCTCGCTTTCGCTCGTCGTCGCCGTCGTCTTCGACGTCGTCGTCATCGTCGTCGTCGTCGTGGTCGGTCCCCTGTCCGTCCCTCTTGGGGTCGGGTCGACGGTCCGCGGCCGCCCCGCCGATCAGCGCTGCCGCTGGCCAGGCCGACGGGCCGCGGCCGCCCCGCCGCTTGCCGGGGCCCGGCCTGCAGGGAAGAAAGGTATACCCCCCAAAAGGGGTTCGATCGAAGACGAAGAGGGCGGGTATCGAGGGTTTGGGAAATACGCGTTATTGGACACTCGAGCATATAAGGGCGAACAGTCTTAAACTGCTTGTTGTTGTTGCTATTGAACATTATTAATTCTAAAGAATAATTATTGTTGGGCCCCCTGGTGCGCGCCCCCCCTGCGCCGCCTAGGCCGCAGCTACATTTTCATCATTTTCGTGAGGAAGCCTCAGGTAAACGATGTCATCAAGATCCGGTTGTTTTGTTGTAATCCGTTTTCCCTTGCAAAAAACACTATAAAATGACATTTCTTGTTCTAATATAATCAAATTTCAAGAATCCCTTGCAAAAAATAAGGTAAAGTGGACATTCGCGCGCGCAAGACGAAATCCTTCCAAAAGCTTAGTGTTCGGAGCGATTTTAACATAAAAACATCAAAAAACCAATGGTTTTTCAACAAAAAAATGTCAAAATCTCATCCCGCGCGCTCTTGCGGATTCGTAGGAAACCCAACACTTTTTAAACATTTCTGTCAAACGGGCTTTTGCGAGCAACTTTTTCGAACTTCTGCGACAACGGTTGCGCACCTGCCAGGGCCATCATCCCTGTCAAATAATACCATGCGGGACACATTCGTTTTTTCTTCGCGCGCGCACGCCGAAATCTCGTCGGCCGCGGGGCCCTGAATAGTAGCCACGGTCGTCCGCAGGCCACGAAGTGAAGTGTCCGAACGTCATAGGGCGGGAAGCTGGGTGTGGGTGGTGGCGAAGAGTCGTTTGGAAATTTGGTAGAGCTTGAACCGGCCCCCCCACAAAGTGGGGGTATTGGCTGGCGTCCATGAAAACCCTGGCACTGGTGAGAACACTGAGCGTTCGGGTAAAGTGATTGTTGTTGTTGTTGTTGTTGTTGTTGTTGTTGTTGTTGTTGAACATTATTATTAATTCTAAAGAATAATTATTGTTGGGCCCCCTGGTGCACGCCCCCCCTGCGCCGCCTAGGCCGCAGCTACATTTTCATCATTTTCGTGAGGAAGCCTCAGGTAATTCGATGTGATCAAGATCCGGTTGTTTTGTTGTAATCCGCTTTCCCTTGCAAAAAACACTATAAAATGACATTTCTTGTTCTAATATAATCAAATTTCAAGAATCCCTTGCAAAAAATAAGGTAAAGTGGACATTCGCGCGCGCAAGACGAAATCCTTCCAAAAGCTTAGTGTTCGGAGCGATTTTAACATAAAAACATCAAAAAACCAATGGTTTTTCAACAAAAAAATGTCAAAATCTCATCCCGCGCGCTCTTGCGGATTCGTAGGAAACCCAACACTTTTTAAACATTTCTGTCAAACGGGCTTTTGCGAGCAACTTTTTCGAACTTCTGCGACAACGGTTGCGCACCTGCCAGGGCCATCATCCCTGTCAAATAATACCATGCGGGACACATTCGTTTTTTCTTCGCGCGCGCACGCCGTCGTCGTCGGCCGCGGGGCCCTGAATAGTAGCCACGGTCGTCCGCATGCCACGAAGTGAAGTGTCCGAACGTCATAGGGCGGGAAGCTGGGTGTGGGTGGTGGCGAAGAGTCGTTTGGAAATTTGGTAGAGCTTGAACCGGCCCCCCCACAAAGTGGGGGTATTGCCCGCCTCCTATGAAAACCCTGGCACTGGTGAGAACGGAGTGTCCCCACGTGCTAGTAATTGTTGTTGTTGTTGTTGTTGTTAGTGTTATTGTTTTTGTTTTTGTTGCTGTTATTGTTCTTGTTGTTGTTGTCGTCGTCCCCCCCGCGACCCACCCGCGACCCTCCCCGCGACTCACCCGCGACCCACCCCGCGACCCACCCGCGACCCACCCGTTACCCACCCCGCGACCCACTTGCGACCGATCCACATTGGTTTGAAGACCGATCCCAATCGGCGCTTGCGGCGGGCTCGTTGCACAACTTGGGAAACTTTGGCGCGTGCGGCGGGCTTCTCCAGAGTCTCGCAGATTGCCGACGAACCCACCGCCCCATCCCTCTGATCTGCATGTGCGTGGTGCTACGTATTTGTTCGTGTTGCGGTGGCGTCTTGGGCCTCTCTGTGGCCCTTCTTGGGATGTCTGAGTCCTTTCTTCGCGTGTGTGGTGGCACTTCTGGAGCCACATTTGGTCCGCTTCGGCGTTCCTGGAGTTTTCTGGGAAAGCTAGGAGAGAGGAGGGGTGCGGCGTATGGGCGATTGAGCGATGTGGCCAGTGCATGTCTCATCGTGTGAAGCTCTGCGGTCTCCTCCCGCACGGGTCATTCATGCGCCAGCCCGCGCCGCCGCTTGTTTCCGCCTCCCCTCTGGGAGCCAGGCTTTCCCAAGCGGTGGACGAAGACCGACCTCCTCGATTTCATCGGAACACACGTCAGGGACCGCGCTTGTCCTTGCGATCTCTCTTTTACCGAGGGCTCCTCGCGGCGTCAAACCGTTGGCCGCTCTTGCGTATAGGGGGTGCATGCCGCAGTCCTTCTGCAGGGGGCCTCTGAGAGGCTTCCTGGGAGCTTCCCAGGACACGCAGGGTATCCCAGCCTGCGGATGCTGTGCACCCGCGGGAGGTTCGCTGACAAGAGCCCCATCGTACCGAAGTGGCAGGCTTGTCCGTATTCCCGGGGCGGCTGGCGGGGAGACGCCGGTGCCGCATGTGACGAGTTTTTGTTGGTAATCTTTCTCCGCGCTTGCCGTACCGATCGGCGGCGACATCCGAACCCTATCTCCTCCGATCAATAATTCAGCCAACTTGATGCGCGGGTGGTGGTAGGGTTCGGAATTCGTCGAACACGGGGTGGAAGTCCGAACCCTACCCCCGCCTCCCATCGATGGGGAGGGGGGGCACACCACCAGGAGGACCTACCCCAGCTCCTCGCGCTGCTGCTGCTGGTGTCGCCTCCCCTTGGAGGAGGAGGAGGAGGAGGAGGAGGAGGAGGAGGAGGAGGAGGAGGACGGCGGCGATGATGTGGAAATGTGGCAGGAGGAGAAGTCGATCCAGGATAGTCGATGGTTGGTGGGGGTGGGGCCCGGGCCGAGGCGTGAGCACCGGCAGTCGGAACCGATGAGGTGTCCGCGAGTTCGCGGCCGCGCCAGCAGTGGCCTGGGAAGCCGGAGCGGCTCCTCCGCTCCTCGGGGGCGGCAAAGAGGGGGGTGATGACTGGGGGGGAGGGATATCACGGCGTGGACAGGGGGTTTGTGCCCCCCTTCGGCGCTTCTTTGCCCTCAGGGTGGGGGGGCGGCTTCCCTGGTTCGAACACCCTCCCCCCCTTGGGCAGGGTAGGGCACGCCCGGCTACGGAGGCCGCTGTCAAGGGGGGGAGGGGCCCTGGCTTCTCGGGGGCGGCAACGAGGGGGGTGATGACTGGGGGGGGTGGATATCATGGCGTGGGCCATGATCTTTCCCCAGATTTAATGGCGCCTCTTCTTATTCCATTACGTCCCTGGCCCGTCCCTGGCCCCCCCTTTGGCCGCGCACATGCTGCCGGCGATGATTTGCGCCCCCCCCTCTTGGACGCCCCCCTCTTGGCCGCCCCCGAGCTTCCTCCGCCATCTATTCTTGGCTTGCTAGATGGGGTCGGAGGATCGAGCCGCATCGCCGATGCATGGGCGATGCGGCTCTATGCAAAGCCCGAATTTCTCCAAGCCGACGTCGCCGATGTCTCGCCGACATCGCCGATGCATCGTCGATGCATCACCGATGTATCGACGATGCGTCGCGATCCACCGACCCCATGTACTCGGACCTCATTTGGGAGGCCTCCACCTCTGCTGATGTTCCTCGTCTATCGGGTGCTCTGCAGCAGCGAATATTTTCGAAGCGTGCTGGCCAGACGGGGCCCGACTGCATAGTGACTGTGCACGTGTGGCTGGTGGGCGGTGCCTATCCAGGACCTCTTTGCCGGAGGACTTGAGGGGGCCCCTGGAGGTCCCCAGCGCCTTGCAGGGGCCTCGAAGTGAACCTAAGGGCCTCCCTGGGCTGCCCAGTGGCTTGATGCAGAGTGGCCTTGAGCGCCCTATGGCCTTCAGAGCGGTTCCCATGAGTCCAGTGGGTTCACAAAAGTCCTCCATCGGCTTCCTAGTGGCACCCAAGAGGCACAAGGGGTTTTCAGATACTTCTGCGAAGCTTGAATGGGGCTCCCAAGTCGCCTCCAAGGGCTTCCCAGGGGCCTCCCAATAGCTTTCCCAGTCGCCTCTTTCAGGGGCGTCAGGGCCCTCCCTAAGCCGAGGGCGTTATCGACCTCCAGCTTCAGGGCCGCCCGGGGGTGTCCAGGGCCCTCTGGGTGCCCCTGACGTGGCTCGAAAGCAGCGTCAGCACGGTGCCCTAGAGGGATCCAGGGAGTAATTTTGTGCGGAGTCGTCGTCGAAGCATCCTTGGCCTGACGCGCGCAAGCAAGTCAGTGACAGCGGTGCTGTGGCATCATTTGGACGGCAATCCGTCAGGCGGATTCCCACAGCACAGATGCTGGAATGTGCCAATATGTCGCCAGCGCGTTTGGCTAACATTGCGCATGTAGTACCCAACGGATCCCATCTGCGGTTTTCTCGATATGTGATACAGCTCAATTGAGCATGGAGTGATCAGGAGAGTGTTTGGTATGCTCACATATTCACATATTTGCAGTGGCTGGTACCATTGAGGCATGTTCAGTAACTCTTGGAGGGCTGTGGTGACGCCCCCCTGAGCGTGTCGGACCCCTTCTGTTGCCCTTCTGATGTCCGAGCGGCCCTAACGGCGTGTTCGTCCATTCGAGCGATTGAGATGACATGTGGCATGTTACGTAGTTTCTCATAGTTCCACTCATGAATTGTCATGCGAGCGCGTCAATCCCAAACGTTTTACGTCGCAGCGCGGCAGAGTCAGTCCGCACGCGCGCTGAGCAGTCCGGGTGACGGCAATGCGAATTGTCCCGGACGGAAGAGGAGAGGAAGGGAAGGGGGAGAGAGGCGGCCGCGGGAGAGGGGAAACGTGTGGGGCAAGCGCGCTCCCGCGGCGGGCACCGCATTGGACTCCGACGAGCACGGACAATATGTATGTGTCTGTTTTACGGCAGACATGTCGAAGATCGCCGTATCCGAACAACAACATAATAGATTGACCGTCGACCGTGTTACAACGATGCGAGTAGATGTGTCTGTTGCAGCCAAATGAGCTGCAGTCGTCAAGGAAGACGACCTTCTCACGAAGGCAGACATTCAGGCGAGCCCAGTCAAGATATCGAAAACCCTATATACTGAATTATACCTGATTTGACAAAAAGTGTTTCAAAATGCAAGACACATCCAATGCGTCAAACATCACGACTTCGAGGTGCCCATACACATGGAAGTTCGTCAAGAACGAAAAGGGCGAGATGGAACGCGCCACCAGATTGCGCCTGGTACATCGGGGCTTCATGGACATCGAAGTTTTCGACGTAGAAACGTTCCCAGGAATGGCGCGGCGCCCACGCCGTCGATTGCACGCCAGCGCGGCTGCGCGCGGGGAGCATTGGATCATAGCTTCCTTTGACATCAACGTGGCCTTCTTGAAGGTCCTGCGTGTCAAGAGCTCGCTGAAGCGACTGGTAAACATGAACGCGCGGCGTGCTTTACGTGGCCGCCTTGCCCGGCATCGGTGCTCAGAGTTCCCCCAGGATTCGAGCGCCATGGCGAGTCATGACGTTGTCTACAGCACCTTCAACCAGGCGCGGGCGCCAAAGATGCACCAAGAGCCCTCCCACTGAAGCTCAGAGGGAGCACGAGAGGCTTTGGATTCAGACCCACGTCTTGCGACGAGGAGTTCGAGGCGAACCCTGCCCCTCATGCTGCCAAACATGTCGATGATAGACACGTGGCCGGCACCGAGGACACCATCGAGAAGTGCATCAAATGCGTTGAGGATACATTTGGGAAATGTAAAGTGAACAAGCGCGCATATACCAACTGCGCTGTGATTTTTGCCCAGGACAGCAACGGTGATCTTATTTCTGATCCAGACGAATATATAAAACAGCTCCGTCCTATCCAGCATCGCGAACTCACGGACGCAGAGGCTGAGGCATCGAAGATGTAAGATGGTCGCTGACCTGCCTGTCAGCCTCAGAGGCGCTATGGCTTACGCCCTTATCACGCAAGTGCGGTTAATGGTACATGTTGCATCGCTACAGCGCGTCCGACGCAACGCGATCACCAGGATGCCGCAGGCCTGCCCTAAAAAGATCGTCTATAATGCGGTGACACCAACGGGCGAGGTCAATCTGCATAGCGACTCCGGCTACCGTCGCCTGAACGGCGATGCCGACGAGGAAATCGAAGGCCATGGTATTCGCGGGGCGAACCTGCTAATGCGTGGACACGCGCATGCTGGTAAGCCCGTCGTCCATCTTGCCGACGCGCAGTGCGAGTCTCGTCGCTTGCATGTCCGCTCGAGCTACTCAGCTGAAACACTGGCAGCAGTCCACAACATGGAGGACTGCTATCCGACGGATGTCACGCTACACGAACTTCACGCAGGGCCGCTGACACCCGCCCAACTGAAGGTTACACTTGAGGTTGGCGGCCCGAGCATTAAGGTCACTTTGACCACTGATGCAGAGTACGTCTTCAAATCCTTGTCGAGCAAAGACCTGAAGGAAACGGCTGAGCGTATACGGCAAATGATGGAGCGCGGTATCGTGCATTGTGCGCAGAAGCGCGACACTCGCGATATGACTGCGGATGGTCACACCAACGGGGGCATCGACAGAGACCTGCTCCTGCAAAGCACGGAAGGAGTACAGTCCTTCAGGCACGAATTGAGACGACACACCCCTACAGGGCGGGCCAGACGAGATCGTTTGAGCCGCTTGAGGATTAGTAAGCTGCGGGGCAACTCGCCTAGGTTGAGCCCGCCGGCTGCTGCTATTCTTGTGTAGTATATTTGCTTCGCTGAGCAAGGCCAGAAGCGGACTCGCGCTTCGTATTTCCCCCCCGACTCTGAAGGAGGAAGGGCAACAGCGAGAGGTGACGGGCGTTTGTCCGCGGCCAATTTGGCCCAGTGTCCGGCCACCTATTTTAAAGCAGTGGCGAAACGTCCGGGCTCGCTTAGGGTCCCACCAAACAATGTTTTAAGAACTTGTTGTGGTTCCCACGAAATGTTCTTAGAACATATATAGTTGTGATTGTCTTGATTTAGCACATCGGGTGTTTGTGTTCTTATAACAATTTTGGGTTTTTAGACCATTTCGTGGTAGGAGAATAGGAATGCCGGGACGGTCGGTCCTTGCTCAATATTTGACCGGGCCGCGCCGCGGTCCGCCAATTTACATCGAAACAGATAAGGCTCCACCTCACCTTTTACTCTTGAAACGCACTGTCGTCGCCCACGCGGCTCCCCCTACTTCTGGCACGATCGTTAATACGATACGACAGGGTTGGACGTATGTTTCGCTTTAAGCGAAGCATCTGGTTGGGCCCCGACCAGCTTTAAACTGTCAGTGCCACTATTACAAGCACGACTGCTACTATAGTGCTAGTACTACTACTACTACTACTACTACTACTACTACTACTACTACTACCACTACCACTACTACTACTACTACTACTACTACTACTACTACTACTACCACTACTACTACTACTACTACTACTACTACTACTACTACTAGTACTACGACTACTACTACGACTACTACGACTACTGCTATTAGTACTACGACTACTACTACTACTACTACTACTACTATTACTATTACTACTACTACTAATACTACTAGTACGACTACCATTGCTACTATTATTTCTACTAGTATTAGTGTTACTATTACTTTTAGTACTACTACTACTACTACTACTACGACTACTACTACTACTACTACTACTCCCACGACTACTCTTACTACTACTACTACTATTACCACCACCACTACCACTACTACTACTGCTACTACTACGACTACTACTACTATCATTACCACTACTTCTATTACTACTACTATGACGACTACTACTACTACTACTACTACTAGTTCGACCACTACTACTACTACTACTACTACTACTATTACTACTACTTGTACCCATTTCACTTCTACTACTACTCGTACTTTTACGATTACTATTCGTATTACAACCACTACTACCGCTACTGCTACGGCTATGACGGCCACTTCTACTACGACTTCTACTACTATTACTACTACTACTACTACTACTACTACTACTACTACTACTACTACTACCAGCACTACGACTATGTCTACTATTACTACTACTTCCACAACTACTACTACTACGACTAGTATTACTACTTCTACTACTACTACTACTACTACCTTTACTACTACGACTACTACAACTACTACTACTACTACTACTACGACTACTACTACTACTACTACTACTACTACTACTACTACCACTACTACTGCTACTACTACTACTACTACGAGTACTGCTACATATATTACTACTACTAACACTACTACTTCTACTACTACTACTACTACTACTACTACTTCTACTATTCCTCCTACTACTAATACTACTACTACTACTACTACTACTACTACTACTACGAATAGTAATACGACCATTACCATAAGTATTACGATTACTAGTACTACTAGTAGCAGTAGTAGGTCTACTACTACTAATACTACTAGTGCTACGACTACTACTACTACTACTACTACTACTACTACTACTACTACGACTACTGCTACGACAATTACCATTACTACTAATACTACTACTACTACTATCACTGCTACTGCTACTACTACTACTACTACTACTACTACTACTACTACTTTTCCCACTACTACTAGTAGTACTACTACTACTACTAGCCCTTTTTTCGGTTTGTATTTTCATTCGTACTACCCAAACGATTTCTAGTATTATGACTGCTCAATTACTAATGCCACAACTACTGTGACGATTATCCTTATTTCGAGTACGATTACGACCACGGCGACGACGACGACTACTACCACTACTACCACTACTACTGCCACTACCACCACTACTACTACTACTACTACTACTACTACTACTACTACTACTACTACCACTACTACTACTACTACTACTACTACTGCCATCTCTACTACCATTACTACTACTACTTGTATTGCGACTACTGATGCTACTCCAAGAAGTAACACGTGCATTACAACTTTTGCACCTTCCGGAATTGATTATATCGTTGGTACCACAGCGGCCCACAATATAATTGCTAGTTATATTCCGCTCGTCCTAAGTATGTCGCGGGCGTATTGAGACGTATTGTTTATACCGATCACGCCCCAGCAAAATATTCGAAGCTCTGAAATCTGTTCGTTGATTCTGCGTTTCCATCTGTTTTCCCCCTAAAGCGTTATCATATCAGGTGGTGGCGTTTTTATTTGTTGCCGTCTACGACGTCCCCCGTTTATTATCCTTGTGTCTTGTCCTCCCTGTCGTGTTGTCATTACGTGGTTTTGTCCCTCTTCTCCAGCCCTCTCTGCTGGCTGCTCGCGGGGCCTGTGGGCCTTTTTCTCGCCTGTTGTTGTTTGCCTTGTTTCATGTGCGCGCGGAACGGACAGAACAGGAGGCAGCAGGAACGGGAGAGCGGGAGCGAAGACGGCAAAGAAGACAATGAACATATTTCGACAAGAAGACAAAACAAGTGGTATACAAGGAGAACCCACAGCGACGGACCATGAAACGCTTCCAGGTTCTACATTAGAAAGAGCGTGGTCTACCGCTGCTGGCGGAAAACCGGGGGGGGTCACCGGTTCGAACCCCTCCCCCCCCCCCCTTCCGGAAAACCGGGGGGGGTCACTACCGGTTCGAACCCCTCCCCCCCCCCCCCAGTTCATCGGGGGGGGTCCCCCCTTTCTCCACTACCGAAACCCCTCCCCCCCCCCCCTCGAAAACGGGGGGGGTCACTACCGGTTCGAACCCCCCCCCCCCTCGAAAACCGAGTGGGGGTGCGGACAGTGGTGGGGACGGTGTTGGTGGGGACAGTGGTGAGGGGATAGCGGGACAGTGGTGGGGACAGTGGGACAGTGGGACAGTGGTGGGGACGGTAGTGGTGGGGACAGTGGTGGGGACAATGGTGGGAACAGGGGGGGACAGTGGACAGTGGTGGTGACGGTGGTGGTGGGGACAGTGGTGTGGGGACAATGGGAATGAGGTGGAAACAGTGGGACAGTGGAGGGTACAATGGTGGTGGGGACAGTGGTGAAGGCGGTGGCGAGGACGGCGGTGGGACAATGGGAGAACAGTGGGGACAGTGGGGACAGTGGTGGGAACAGTGGGGACAGCGGAGGAGTCAGTGGGACAGTGGGGACAGGGGATAGTCGGGCAGTGGTTGGGGCCGTGGAGACAGTGGGGAGAGTGGAACCGTGGTGGGAACAGTTCTGGGGACAGCGGGGACAGTGCGACAGTGGTGGGGGCACTGGTGGGGACAGTAGGGACGGTGGTGGAACCAGTGGGGACAGTGGTGGTGAGGACAGTGGTGCTGGGAACAACAGTGGGGGATGTGATGCGGACGGTGGTAGGGACCGGGAGTCGTTTGCTGGCGGTGAGTGGGGGGGGGGTCGAACCGGTAGTGATCCCCTCCGGTTTTCGAGGGGGGGGGGGGTTCGAACCGGTAGTGAATCCGGAGGGGGGGGGGGGGGGTTCGAACCGGTAGTGACCCCCCCGGTTTTCCGAGAGGGGGAGGGGGGGGGGGGTTGAGGGGGAGGGGGGGGGGGGGAGGGGGGGGATTTTCGGAGGGGGGGGGCGACCCCCGGGCTCCGGAGGAAAAGGTGGGCAATTTTCCACAGTAGAGCGGCGGTGGATCACGCTCTCTCCTACATTAGGAACGCTCAGACGTCGCGTTTTTGTTCGGACCCCTAGATTGTCAAGGGCCCTAAGTACAAAACGGTAACACAACCGCCCAGGACGGTTCTAGGCTGAACCAGGTGGTTTTTTTTTGGAGCGCGACTAGTATTGCTCTTATTGTTGTTACTACCGGTGCTACGAGTACTGCTGCTACTTATACTTCGACTAATACTCCTACTTCTGCTACTAATGTTTGTTATTCGTCGCTGCCGCTCGTCGCCGCGGTTGTCGCCGCGGTTGTCGCTGTCGGCGCCACTTGTTGTCGTCGTCGTCGTTTCCGCCAGTCGTCGTCGTCACCGTCTTATGCCTGGTCGTCGTCGTCGTCATCGTCGTCATCATCGTTATCTGTCGATGTCGTTGTCGTCGCCGCTGGTTGCCGTCGTCGTCTTCGTCGTGGTCGTTGTTTTTCTGGCCAAGACACCACGGAGAAGCAGCTCGCAGGAGTTGATGTATTCACCTTGTGTTTGGTCCCGTCGAAAGTAATTCCACAGTCAAGCGGAATCTGGCAAAGTTGGCCCTCTTTTCCAACATTGGTGGTCGATCTCTGGGTTCCCTCCCACTCTGGTCCACATATCGTGCTGACGTCCTCATCAGACGAAGACCATCGAGAAGATCGAGATGGCTTCGACAGAGGACCGCCCGCTCCGACGCGGCTGTGGCAGTTCCAGGTTGAGGGAGAAGGCTTTCCAGAGTATCGCCAGGGCCAATTTGCGAGCACATGCATCTAGTGGTCTTCGGCCCATCCCGAAATGATCCCGCCACTTTTTTCGGGTTGTGGGCCAGAGTGTTCTTGGATGTCTATTTGGGCCTCTTGCGATGCCTCTTGGGGGCCTCTTGGAGGCCCCCTGAAGAGGCTTGGTGGGGCGTCTCGGGGATCTCCTGGGGACCTCTTGGAGACCTCTTGGTGCCTCTTGGACGCTTCTGGATGCAAGGTGGCGGACTCGAGGACCATCTTGGCACAAAGGAGTTGTTAGGGCCAGTTCGGGTTCCCCCCGGCGGGGCCGAGAACATGCAACAACAATGTGTTTTCAATGTTTGTCAGTGTGGACCCCACACCGTAAGTACGGGGTGCAAGCTGCGTGGTACAATCTATGTGGTAATACCATGCGGTGTCAGACAAGCTATGCGGTTCAAGCTGCTTGGTGCAAGGCAATCTACGCGTTGTAATCTGATCGGTGCAAGCTACGCTGTGCCCAGATGTGGTGCAAGCCATGCGGGGGACTGTACGTAGTGCAGGCTATTTGGTGTCAGCCACGTGGTGCAAGCTACGCAGTGCCATCTACTTGGCGCACGCAGTTTTGTGCAAGCTTTTCGGTGCAAGCTGTGTGGTGCACTACGTGGTGCACGCTAGGTCGTGTAGTCTCCGTGGTGGCAGCTATGTTGTGCAAGCTGTGTGGTGTCAGCCATGTGGTGCAAGCTATGTGCTGCAAGCTATCGGGGCGCCCACGAGGCGCCCACGGGGGGGGCATCCTGCGAGTCTTCGGCACACCCTCCAGGCGCGAGGCGCCCGCGAGGCACCCACGGGCGCCCACCGGGCAAGACAAATGCGGCATTGGCTTTCGCATTGGGAGTCAGATGGCTTCGATCATGTGCGGCAAGTTTCACGTTGATGGTGCTGTTTCTGGTGCGGCCGAGGCCCCAATTGCCAAGAGAGAGGGGGTGGGGTGGCGGAGCTGACGGAGAGTGACGACCACACATCGACGAGGACAAGAAAGGGAGAGGAGAGCCGGCTCTGTCCACACCGCACCTGGACAGGGAGCGCAAGGAGATGGCGATGGGCACAGGTACACAGGCGTCGCTTCCCCGAGCAGGCGCACACGGTTCCAGCAAGATTACTTTTTACACGAATGCAACAGAGCCAGTTTATGTTTGTTGAGGTGTTCACAAGTGCGCTCGGTTTTTCATGGTGTTCCATTTATTCTGTCGCGTGGTAAGTTGTGCCTCCTTCACGGGGTGGCGCTCAGGATTTCACTCGATGTGTTGTGGCTTATGGCATCTCGTGTCTCCCAAGCATCCCGTGGTCACCTCGAGGTTACCTGCACCTGGTTGGTGAATGTTTCTCTGCTGTGTTGAATTTGCTATCCAATGGCAGGGCCGAAAATGTTGGCCATTTTGGATTTGTTTGTTCTATGTTGATCGTCAGTCGACTCGCTGGCCATTATGTGGATGCTGACATCCCACTTGACCAGGCCCGTTCCGGGTCCATGAATTTGAACATGAGCACTTCTTGTGAGGTTTGGTTGGCACCTCGGCTATGACAACTTTGACATTAACGGCCCTGGCCCACTATCACGGGCACAGCCAGGCCGCCAAAAAGTATGTGTTCACACCATTCATTTTGTAAGCCTCTAGTAGCATTACTTCTAGCCCATGGGGTCTCGCTCTGCATCCAGGGACCTGGCGAGCCAAGGCCATCCGAGGCGCCCGAAAAATCAAAGCGGCATTCCGAAGGGCGAATGTGTTACGTCGGTGTATCAAAATCTGCATTACTCTAGATTTACCTCCCCCCTTCCACAGGATCCACAGGCCGTTTTGGGTGACGCCAATCGGATGTCGCAAGTAAGTCCTTCTAGGTAGTATTGGGAGCAGCCCTTGGATCCAGAAGTCGACTGGGGCAATCTTCTGCATAGCTCAGTTCTTTAAATCGTGCTTGCGCTTGGGCTTTCATTTGCTCTCTGATGAACTGTCTCCGTTGCTCCCTATCGTGGGGCCCCATCGTGTGGCCCCAGCCCAAGGGTCCTACATGGTAGGTGTCGCATGTCAAAAACTATGGGGCCCCACACCACAGGTTTTCACACGGTGGGGTCCTGCACGAGAAGTTGGCCCGTTTAAGAGCTGCCTTGTCGATCGGATGTCCCTCGCAATGTGGTGCCCCATGCGACAGGATCCCTTGCGATAGTGTCCCCGGCGATGGGGCCGCACACGACAGGGCCCCACACGACTGGGTCCCATTTTTGGGTCGCGCCCTGCATATTGCCCTGCATAGGCTGCACTTTCTGGGGCCATCGGCAGGATCACTGCTTATTCTTCCCGCTACACCCCTTGGTGCGCGCGCCGCCAACCAACGTCGGAGGACGAGGCGTCCTCGGGCGAAGCCACCCTGCAGTTCCCGAGCTACTACGACGCCAAGAGGGCGTGCTCCGACCTCGACGGCTGCCCCGCCCGCGCGCCTGCTTGCCAGCCGGCCGTCGGCGCTGCTGACCTAATCTTCCCCCACTCGACAGGTCGGGTATGTTATATTTTCCGGGTAGAACTCCCGTCTGCCCACCCTGCGTAACCGCGGCCGTCAGACCCTCCAGGATGCCGGTGATCCCAGAGTATTCTGCCTCGCGTCTTGGACGAATAACGACACCATACCGCGGTCGCCAGACCCCACATGATCTTTGTGATCCTTGGGTATCCCGCCTCGCGTCTTGGACGAATGACGACGCCGTTATACCTCAGTCGCTAGACCCCACAGGATCCTTGTGATCCTTGAGTACCCCGCCTCGCGTCCTCGACGAATGTCGACACCCCGCATACCAGACAGGCCCGAGTGGGTGACGTCACGGCGTCATGCCGTCCAGGCGCCACGACGCAGCAGCAAAGAGGCACGTAGCATCGACATCACGGCTACACGGCAAACATTGGGTCATAATCATAACAATCATATCGCGACAAACCAGGGCATGGCAGAGTATAGCACAACCTACCGTGCTATCTTGGCACGATCACAGCATAACACATATCATTATACGATACCGCCTCACAGCATACCATAACAGCATATCATCGCATGGTTCGCCATGACATAGCATATTTAAGCACGCCATGTCAGCGTGGATCATCACATCGTAAACATGTTAGTATGAGAGATCGGGGCATATTACAGTCAATGTTTTGAAGCATTTTTCCCGTGCGGCACTTTTGGCCAAGACCCCTTCCGAATTGAGAAGCGCGGCGCTCAAAACTTGTTTGCAAGAAATTATGCGACCGCCCCCCACCAACGTTTATCATGCCAAGTTGTTTTGTTCCGCCCAGCGGGGAACATGGGACAGTTGTAGAGCCAAAAGAAGAACTTCGATGGTTGGGTGAAATTCCGCGCAACTAAACTACACTAAGAGCTTCTCTTGGAAGGTTGTTCGGGTCTGTTCGGTCTCTCCTGTGTGTGATTGGCCATTGTTCAGCTCTTCTTGGGTTTTTTCGGGGCCTGGGGAGTGTCCCAGGGGCCGTTGTCGAAAGATCGCGGGGCCCCCGTGGCGCCTTCGCCATCAAAAATGCCGCGAATTGCGCCGTGAAGTCTAGCCCAAAGCAAAGCCGAAATGTTTGACGCTTCGCGCCGCCTGCGCTTCCGGTTGCGGCCGCGACGAAAAGTGTCCCCGCCAGCCCGGCGGCACCGCTACTCGCACTTCGGCCACCTGGGGGTCTTCTCCCGCGCCATTTTGGCTGCGTTCCCCGCACTGACACGGTGGTGTTCGTGTCGTTCGGCAAGGTGATCCACCTCGTCCTCTGCCTGGCTCTGTCGCGCCATTTTGGCGCATCATTGCCCGCGCCCGGGGCGCTTCAAGTTCCTCATGTTCGGCAAGTCTGCTGCCTGGGACTTCGTGCTGATCGTCTTCGGCACGCTCTTCGGTAGCTGCTCGCAGGCCGGGTGGCAATGCTGTACTTCCCTTTCGCCTGCCGCCGCTCGCTTCACTGTTCCCTTTGCTACGGGCGCGGCCCGCCTTGGCATGCTCGGCCTTCGACTCGTCCTCGCGCGCCCGCGGGCCAAAACGTGCCCCCGCCAGCCCATCCAGATCCGGCCGCGTCGATGCCACAAAAAACAAATGTTTTGTTTTATTAAGTTTCGGGAGAAACGCTCAGCGCCTCCGCCAAGTAAGCATATGTCACAATGTGATGTTCGTTTGCAAGGCATTTTGGTTTGGCGCCTTCGCCAAATATCAGTTTGCGGGAAATCAGATCTTAGCCCCGAGTCGATTAGGAAAGCCTTCGGGGAAGACGTGGGCATCTTGAAGGTCATCTTGGCCGCCTGGAGGCCATGTTGACCCTTTCCGGTTTTTTTGGAGGACGTCTTGGAGGGCTATTCGGCCGTCTTGGAGGCCATCTTGAGCGTCTTGGATGCATTTTCGGCCGTCTTGGGGGCCTTTTGGGGCCGTCTTGGGTCTCTTGGGTGATCTTTGAGGGCACTTGGGCCGTGTTTCGGGCCGTCAGAAGGCCGAACATCAACAAATGCCAGAATCCTTCATACATTCATCGGGCCTTCCTGGGGATCCTCTTGGAGGCCTCTTGGGCCGCCTTGGGCCGCCTTGGGCCATCTTAGTGCCACCTTCGGCCGTCTTGGTGGGCCCCTGGCCCGTCCGACGTCGTCGGGAACCGTTTTGGGGGGCCTCTCTGAATCGACTTGGGGCCCTCTTGGAATGCCGGCCCATCGGCGCGGCCTGGGGGCGCGGGGTCGACCGCTCGTTCCACTGGGGCGCGGGCAGACGCGCGCGTGAGATGGCGGGGCTCGCGCGCAACATGATGGCGGCTTTCGCTCAGAAAGTTTGGTCTAGCGTCCGGCGCCGTCGCCGTCGCCGTCGACCTCGCGAAGGGCCAGTGAGATCATCGGCCACGAGGAGCTCTGCAAACAGGCAGTGGAGACTGACTTTCCGCCGGTGTCGCCGCGGGCCCCCCGCCCCAGCTGCCGCCCCCCCAGGGGGGCCATGCTGGGCAAGGGATCCGGGCCCGTAGTCGAGGCCACCTGGGGTGCGGCGACGGGCTGCTCGCGCGCGGCAGGCGTCGGGCAGCTGCCGGCGCGCGCGCTGCCGCGCGGCGTCGCCCGCAGGTGCTCGCTCGCTCGCGCGCGCGGAGCTTCGTCGACCCCCCCCAGGCAGTGGGCGCAGTGCGCCTGGTGGGCAGCCAGCTGCGCCTTGCCGCCCGCGACCTATTCGAGGGCTTGCAGCGCAGGGTCTCGAGGTCAACTTGGGCGGCGTGGGCCAGGTGGCCCCGGACTCGGAGCTGGCGCGGGCGCCGGGCGAACAGCGGGCCGAGCTCGGCCCTGTCGGACACGCTGGCCAGAGGCGCCGCGGCGGCGACGGCAATGGCAGCAGCGGTGGGCGGGTGTCGGAGAAGATCAAGGAGCTGGCTAAGGCCGCCAGGGCGGCGGCCAAGATCGAGCTGCTGCAGTCAGCAGGGGCCAGGACTCGCCACCTACGCCGCGGCTCGCTCTGCGTCGCGGCAGCGCGGGGTCTGCGGCCACGGGCGTTGCGGACGGCGACTTGGGCGGCCCCAGGATGCGCGCCATCCGCTCGGAGGGGGGGCTGGCTCCAGGCAGATGCCTCGGCTTCAGTGTCCGCGCCGTGCCGCGCGCGCTGCCCGGGGGCCCCATTCGCGGCGTTCGCCGCGGAGGCCACCGAGGCCCGCGCGGTCGGAGAGCGCGACGGTCTCCTGCAGTCGGATGCGATCGCCTCCGCGCACGCGGACGCGCTGAAGATGTTGGACAGTGCGAGGCCCTGGACCCAGTGCGCTGACCAGTCCTGGAGTCTAGGCTGCAGCCTTGGGCCTGGCGGGCGCCGATTGCCAGCTCACCATGCGTAGTTTGTTGCTCGATCATCGCCGGCGCGAGATCGACCTGCTGTCCTTTGCCTGGGGCAGCGCGCCTGACAGTCCGCGCCTCCGCGCGCGCTGCATCTGACGCCGCAGATATTAGGAGGTGTTGCGGCCCCTGGGTTTCTGAGGTCCACCGGGGGCCCGCGGTTGCAGAGTTTGCGAAGACTTCAGAGCTTTGGGCGAAGAGGCACGTGGATGGTTTCCGTTCTGTGAATTGTGGGGCGCGCTGGAGCCAACGCCGTTTGCATGCCAAAGGCAAAACTACGATTTGCTGCTGCACGCGATGCGTGCTAGAGGTGTCCTCTGGCGCCGATGCTTCGACTGCCGTAGCACCGAGTTGTTTCCGTTCGACCCGATCCACCCGTTAAGGTTCGCGCGTGTTCGGTCGACTGATGCTTCATTATTTGACACGCGTTACAAATGCGGCAACCGTTTCGCTGACCGCCGGGCAAAAAAACTGGCCTTGCTCTTGGGAGGCACCGGCCGAAAGGGTTTCTCTTGTTGAAGCGTGTGAAAGCATGGCCAGCATGCTCGTGCAGCGGGTGGGTCTCATCCACGCTTGGGCCGGTGAAATATGGCCTTGGACACCGAAATGGTCGCAGCTGCAGACCCTGAAGCGGCAGACCCTGAAGCGACCACTCATGCTCAATATGATACTGGGTGGGAGCAGGCGGCCCCGGCCCCTCTCTTTCCCGTGCACGGGCCGCGGCCAGAGACGATTGATGTGTGGGGGGGTGGAGTTTGGGGACATTCCTTGGAGGCCGCGACTGTTTCAAGGGCATCCGGTGGTCAAGTGTGATGTGGATGGGGCCTGAGGGACAGCGCTTGAATGTTTGCAAAGCCTGCGGGGTGTCGGTTGGCCTACGGGTCCCCCCTGGTAAAAGCCCTGTGCGAGCCTGCGCGGGGCCCAAGCACCAAGGGTTAAAGACCCAGAGGTCTCGCCTCCGTATAGGTCCCCTCAACGCTCGGCCCTTCGCTCTCCTCCCAGGCTGTCTGCGTTTCGAGGCTTTGTGGAAGAGGATGCTGGTCGGCTGCAGGGGAAGCTGACGGGGCCCAGTGCTGTAGCGTCCGGGGGCGGCGATGTTGAGCTGTTGAGCCGTCGTCTGTGGCTGAGCCCTCGCCGGGACTCGGCTGCGGGCCCCCGGGGCTCGGCCTTCGGATGGGTCCAGGGGCCCCGTCAGCTCCCACCAGTGCGGGGTGTCAGTCCCTCTCCTGGACCTGGCCCACGTTGCTCGCCCGCACGGTTGTGCTTCGCCCGATTCGGCGGTCGAATGGACTCGGGAGTGCAGGTTGGCTCAGCGTGAAGCTAAGGCCGAAGGGCTTCGGCCGCTGGAGGGTGATTAGAGCCTCTTTGCCGCCGCGGCGATGTAATATGTTTTCTTGTGTTTCGTATTCCGATGCTTGTTCTCTCTTTGTATTTCCTCTGTTTTTTGTTGTGTCTGTTCTCCTTCGTCTTTTTTACTCATATTTTTATTAGTTGTGCCCTTGTTGTTATTACGTGTTTTCTTCTATCAACGCGTCCCATAGTCCATAGTCCCCAATCGTCCGAGCATATGCCTCAGGCCATGTCGCGCCCCCCTCTCTCCCTGGCCCCCTACGTCGGGCGCGCCAGAGTGAGATCAACGTTGTTTTACGAACGCCATGGTTGGCTTACTGTGTGTGTGTGTGTGTCGAGACGTGGCAGTAAGGTCGGGACCCAAACTTCTACAGTATCGGTTTGCCCGAAGTGCACCCGGCGCCACATGAGGTTTGGGTGAGTGGCCTCATCTCCGTCTGTTTTGCTGCGTTGAGGCGCACGCAGAGTCTATGATATGAAGGGGTCCGCGCGAAGTCGTGGAATTTCTGTTTTGCATTATAGTTACTTCTGCTTTTGGGGGTTCTGAGCTGTGGCATCACTGCAATAGGCATTATGTTGGACGAGTTTCCAACGGGAGACAGGGTCTGAAAAAGAGGAGCGCGGAAACCATGGACGCCCTTTCCTTGACTTTCTTGTAGGCTCGTTTATAAGATGCATGGTGCCCTAGTTAGCAGCTGCTTGTAAGTGTTCAGAGGCTGAAGCCAAGCCAGGCCTGCAAGAGGGCGACGAGGATCAGGAACGCGGGCGCGGAGGCGGGGGGAAGGAAATTTGCAGACTGATCCGCCCTGGCACGCCAGTCTCCTGCAAGCGCACGCGTTCGCGTACGCCTGTTGTCGCAATCGGCCGCTTGCCAGAACGCAGCGCGGGCCCAGGTCAGAAGATCGCCGGCAAACCGTTGACCCTCGTCATGAAAGGGGCTGAGCAGGTACGAGCTGCTCCCCTCAGATCTTTGAGCTGCGGGGAGGAATGGGGATTCCGTCAGGAAGCGATTGCCCATGTTTCTAGAGCAACTTCGGTTTCGAGGGACTATGATTTGTTGGCCTCGCCCACGTTAGTTTGCTTCCTGTTGCCCAACATCATTGTTCTGATTGTCGCTTCCATGCTGATTGATTGATGCTGTCAGTGCTCTTTGGTCTTTCTGTTACCATAGTCGGTTTCGGATTGAGCGTCGATTTCAGTATTGCCTTGCTGTTTCTGCGAGAATTTCCCACCATACCGTGTTTGTACTCAGTGCTTTTTGTTGCGCAGAGAAGAATTATGCCTGGCTGCGGCGATTTCCTGATGGCCGCCCAGGAGGTCGCGGGTCCTTCGTTTATGCGAGTTCCTGTAGACCGCCACTAGGGTCTTGCGTCCCAGTGGCCCTCGTTATTGTGATTTTCTGGTGTTCACAGGGTCCGCCAGCCTTTGCTATCCAAATTTGCTGGTTGCCGCCTGGCCGCCCCTGGATTCCCGAGTCATGGAAAATCGCATTACGCAGATTTCACGGTCACTTCGCAACCACGTGTGTTGCATTTCATTTGTTGTGTTGCATTGGGTACATATCATGTGTTGCAGTAAGCACAGGTTGAACAGCACATGTTGCACATCGAGATTGCAAAAGCCTACCGTTCAGTATCCGCGCTAGCAATCATCTGCAATGAAACCCTTTCGGGTGGAAGCGGCTGGAAGGATGACCGGGGACGTCGAGGTGGTTGGCGTGATGACAAGGATTCCATGGGAATGGTATTGTTTGGTGTTTTGTCGTATCAGTTTCATCGCTCGAAGACTGCCATGTCCTTTCCATCTCTGCTGGTTCCTCATCTCCCGCCGTCCTGATTTCCCTGATTGGCAGGTCTCGCTGGTCGCAACACTGGCCAATAAAAACGATGAACCCAGCCACACGTTACGATTGCCACAAGTTCCCAGCTGAGAGGATCCTTACAGCGTTTGCGGCGCCGGATGACTCCAAGGGGGGGTCTCTTTTGGCCCTTTTGTATCTTGTGCCCCCCGCTCTTGTGCGCGTTTTTGTGTAATGATGAAAATAATATGTTGCAATGTTGCGGTTTTGGGCATCGATATTTTGCGCGGTTCTCGTTTTGGGTGTTGGAAGCCTTGCTTTTCAGCTCGCTGTTTGTTGATGTTTGAGTTTTCTGATGTTGGACGCGTTTTTTTCGCAGCTCGGGTATTTTTTGAACTTTTTCATGCTGTCAATGGTTGTTCATTTCGCTTTGTGTTGACTTTCAGCCTTTCTGGTTTCGAGCATGAGTTAGTTTGTCGTTTGGACTTGTGTCTTCAACTCATTGTCATGTTGATGTTGATGTTGCACATGTGTGTTTTCGGTGTTGGTCCGTTGGACTGCGAGGTTCATGTCGATTGTATGTTTCGTTTTGTTCGGTTTTTCGATGAGGTTCATGTCGGTTTGAGTGTTGGGTGTGTTCGGTTGTTCGGTTGGCATCTGAAGTGTATCGAAGACGCCTACGGCGAATCACCGCCGCCCCCTGCCTTTTTGGAAACGCCTATGTGGCCGAACGTTGTGGCCAGAGGCCTGGCAAGCTATCGGACCATGTGTTCCCCCAATCGGTTTGGAAAGCCTTTGGGGAACACGGTGGGCGAGGCTGGGCCGACTTGGGCCTTCTTGGGGTGCTCCAGGGCCGTCTTGGAGGCCATCTTGAGCGTCTTGGAGCCCTCTTGGGCTGTCTTGGGGGCCTCCTGGGGCCGTCTTGGGGACCTCTTCGGCCGTTCTTAGGCCATACTCGAGCCCTCTTGGGGCGATCTTTGGGGGCTCTTGGGCCGTCTCGGGCCGTCGGAAGGCCGAACAAAGCAAATGCCACAATCTTTCAACAACTCTTGGGAAATCAATCTTTCCGGGCCTTCCTGGAGGCCCTCGTGGAGGCCTGTTGGGCCGTCTTGGGCCATCTTAGGGCCATCTTCGGCCGTCTTGGTGAGCTCCTGGCCGGTCTGATGTCGTCGGAAGCCGTTTTTGGGGCCTCTCTGGGTCGACTTGGGGCCTTCTTTGAATGCTCCAGGGCCGTTTTGGAGGCCATCTTGGGCGTCTTAAAGGCCTCCTGGGCCGTCTTGGGGGCCTCTTGGGACCGTCTTGGGGGCCTCTTTGGCCGTTCTGGGGCCATCTTGGAGGCCTCGTGGGCGATCTTGGGGCGATCTTTATGGTCTCTTGGGCCGTCTCGGGCCGTCGGAATGCCGAAAAGAAGCAAATGCCAAAATCCTTCAAAACCCACGGAATACCAGCGATTCTGGCCTCTTCGAGCCCTCCTGGGGGCCCTCTTGGAGGCCTCTTGGGCCGTCTTCGGCTAGCCTGAGCCAACTTTGGCCATCTTGGTGGGATCCTGGCCCGTCTGACGCCGTCGGAAGCCGTTTCCCTCTCTGGGCCGACTTGGGGACTTCTTGGGGTGCTCCCAGGGCCGTCTTGGAGGCCATCTTGGGCCGTCTTGCGGCCCTCTTGGGCCGTCTTGGGGCCCTCTTCGGGCCGTCGTGGAGGCCTCTTGGGCCGTCATGGGGCGCTCTTGGAGGCCTCTTGGGCGATCTTGGGCCGTCTTCAGCCGTCGGAATCCCGAAAAGACGCAAATGCCAAAATCCTTCAAAAGCGGAAGGTCAATCAATGATTTTTGCTTCTTCGGGCCCTCCTGGAGGAGCTCTTGGAGCGTCTGGGAGGCCTCTTGGGGGCCTCTTGGGCCATCTCAGGCCATCTTGAGGCTATCTTAGGCCGTCTTGGGCGCATCTTGGGCCGTCTTGGAGGCATACAGGGGCCATCTTAGCCGTCTTGGAAGCCATCTTGGAAGCCATCTTGGGCCATCAGGTCTTCCGGGTGGCCTGCGGGACGCGCCGGAGCCCCAGGGGGAGTTCTTTTGGAAAAAGAATAAAAACCAAAACCGAAATCAGCTAGCACGCCAGGCACCCCTGTGATGAATCGACAGGGGGCGGCGGATCCAGCTGCCTACGGCAAGTCCCGTCACCGTGCCTGGGTTGTGGGTTATAAGCCTAGTGAATGTTCGTTTGAATCTCCTGGGAGGCTTCTCGGGTGCCTCTTGGAGGCAGTTTTGAAGCCTCTTCGGGGCCGTTTGGGGGCCTGTTGGGGGCCTTTTGGGGCCTCTTGGAGGCCTCTTGGGGGCCTCTTGGGGCGGAAGGCTCGGATTTTCGGTTCTTGGTCCCTCTCTGGGGACCCTTTTGGGGCTGTCTTGGGGCCCTCTTGGGCCGTCTTGGGCGCCTTTTGGGGTGTCTTGGGGCGCTCTGAGGCCGTCGTGGGGCCCTCTTGGAGGCACCCTTGGCAGTTTTTGGGTGGTCTTGGGGGCCTCTGGGGCCGTCTTGAAGCATCGGAAATCCGAAACGGCGAGAATGCAAAGGTCCTTCAAACATGCAAAGCAAATCAATGATTTTTGACTTCGGGGGCCCTCTTGGGAGACCTCTTGAAGGCTTCTTGGGGCGCCTTGGACGCCTCTTGCGCCATCTTGAGGTCATCTTGGGCGTCTTCGAGCGAGCGTTCAGCGACTCGGGGCCTTCTTGGACCGTCTTGGGGGCCTCCTGAACTGTCATGGACTGTCATGGAAGCATTGGAGAGCCCCAGGGAGGCGCCATGGCCGCCCAGGGATTCCCCGAGAGCATGGTCGGTGCACGCAGCGAGACGCTTCCCAAGGAGGTGGGGGCCCTTGAGAGGATTACAGAAACCTTGCCAGACAGCACTTGACATTATACCACGCCTCAACGTGCCAGGGGGCACAGTGGCGGACATCAGTTGGAATATGGGTATGGTTCAATTATCCGCAGCGGTTAATGTCGGATGAGTGTTGTTTGTGTTCGTTTTTCATTATAAAAAACAACAAAAAGGAATACATAATATGAGGTTTATTACTGTTGGAGTTGATGCCATATTATTTTGTTCGGTTGATGATGCTTTTCGGTTGGACTAGGAGGTTAATTTCGTTTGCATTGTGTGTTCCAGTCTCGCTTGCATTATTATTGCTTGGTGTGTGCTTGCGTTCTCGGTTGGCGCGTGATCGTGATGTTTGTATTTGCTTGATGTGTTCCCGGATTCTCGTCTGGCATGTGTTTGGTAAGGTGTTTGTTTGTTCGGTTGGTGTGAGTGTGTGCGTGTTCTTTGTGACCGTTTGATGTGTGTTCTAGGTTGGTAGGTTGCTTTTGCAAAAGTTGGAAAATCTCCCACTGAGGGGCGTGGACCAGAGCCGTCAAGGCTAGGTGGGGGACCACCAGGGACCCAGCAGAGGGCCCCTGCAACCCCAAGTGGGCCCCGCATAGAATAGCAACACCAGATGAGGGCCCTCCAGGGCCCGCGGTGGCTGGGGCCCATAAAACTCATGAAACCCAGGCGCAAGCACGTGACCGAGGCGCGATCCAACAAGCGGAAGAGGGAGAGGACCGCTCGCACCTTGGGGACCCGGACAGGCCATCCTCCTGCCAAGAAGCTTCCTCCAGGGGGGAGAAGGCCCGATTTCCACGGGGGTCCGTTGCCCCAGGGAGCTTGTCAGATTAGTGAATGCCCTTCTCTTATTACCTCATCCTCCTTACTCTCCTCGATGTCCTCCGATGTTCGGTCAACCGCCAGCCCAAAGGAGTGTCATCGCCATCGTCATATGTTCTAAACTCTAAACAGGTTTAGATGCAGTGGACCATCTTGCTCTTTCGTGCCATTATCATCAGCATCATCATCACCACCATATTTGTCGCCACTATCGCCATCATCTTCATCCATCTAGCCTCTGTTTCATACGACCATAATTTCTGAAACCAGCGACTTCGTTGCGATCGTTATCATCATCAGTTCTCGTTATTCCTTTGCGACCTCGACCTGTTAGATCCTCAGGTTCCCTCCCCCTTGCAAACATCGGTGCCGTCATGCTCATCATCCTCACTATCATAAGCATCCTCACTATCAGCATGATCATCATCATCCTCGTCGTCGTCATCATCATCGTCGCCGTTGTCATCATCATCATCATCATCATCATCATCATCATCATCATCCTCATCCTCATCCTCATCCTCATCATCATCAGCATCATCATCATCACCATCATCAGTAGCAAAGGCCGCCGAGGCTCAGGCCACCGAAGGTGCGGCGGCCTCCAGTCACCGCCCGCTCGCCTTTGCCCGAAAGGCAGAGGGCCGCTTGACGACACCCCGCAGACAGCCATGCCGCCAAGGCTGTGCTCCAGAGCGCGGGCGCCGCGCACCTGCTGAGCGACAGGACCTGCTCGCTGACGAACGCATGGCACCTGACCACCAGCCAGACGACAACGCCGATGCTGCAGCACGGGAACTACAGAGCCCACCACGACGCGCACGAGTCCCGCGCTACAGCCGCCGCCCAGCCCCGACCCCAGCATCACCACCACCACATCCACCCCCAGTTTGCGAAGGACCACCACTGGAAGCTGAGCATCAATTTCAACATCATCATGAACATAGAGGGCCAGCACGTGCAGGAGTACAACAAGCCGATCTTGAATTGCTGGACGCTGAGCTTCAATTTCAACATCAACACGGACACGGCGGGCCAGCACATGCAGGAGCACACCACGCAGACCATGAATTGCCACCAGTGGAACAATGGCGCGCTGACATTGAATTACCACCGGGAATTGATTTTCGACATGAACGGGAACCATGCGACGAACGACCTGAACATGAATTTCCAGCCCGACGACCCGCCGACGCCCCCCCGCCCGGCCTTCTGGAACCCCCACGCCGCCCTGACC